GTGAGCAAACCTACAGTGAAGGAAAACAAAGATACTCCACTCAATTTCAAGTATATTTGATATGTTGATCATAAGGTGGATCATAAGAGCTAATCAGATCCGACCAAAGTTTCTATGCACCTCTAAAATAGCTTCACTGGAGTCATGAGTCAATGTATCTGAAGCTCGTTCCACACAACTGGTTGTTTGGCTCAGTGTAAAGAAGTAAAGCCGGTATAATGAGGGCTCTTCTTTACAGCAGAACTGTATAACCAGGAATTATGAGAGATAGAGGAATATGTTGCACCTCGTCTGACATTTTCTGATTGCTTCTCATCCTAGTTTTAATATTTGATGTGCAATGTTGATAGGAAAAGTGGAATAAATAAATAAATAACACAATATAAAAAATAGGGGACTTTGAATAGACCCCTTAAACCGCAATCGTTACCGGCTGATACTGCTACGGGAGAACGGTGACCAAGAATTCTGATTGAAGCACCCTTAAAAAACAACATCGTGGAGAACACCGCAAGCAACGGGTCTGAATTCCCTTTTTAGCTTGGGGCTCAAGACGAAATTTTAAAATCATTGCTTATATACAATGGGCAGGTAACATGATGCCCGCGGAATGAGTTAAAGATTGGTTAGATGCCTTTCTTGTCAGCTTGCAGCAGCATTAATCACCAGCCGCAGTCACAAAACAGATAATATTTTGTGAGCAGGTGGCCTTAAAGCCTTAAAGGTCTTTTGGTCTATGATAAGCGTTTGGCCTTTCTAAGCCTTTGAGCTCTCACAAACAAAGAACCATCCCAAACCTTTGGGCTGAGGTAAATGGTTGACTTTTCCAAGCCTTTTAGTCTGCACAAAGCTGTTGGAAAGCGTCCATCAGATAAGGGGTTCCCATAGGCATCTTTTCAATAAAATATGTGACCAGCAACAAATTGGCTTCAGACACTTGTCGTAATATAAAAAGGACAGGCATGTTTCCGCTGTAGAGTGGTCAAAAAACGCTGGTATTAGCAGTAAAATATTAAGATTAAAGGTAATGAAAAATAGTAATGTCAGAAGAATACCATTAAAGAGCAACGCCTCCTCACACTTCATGTACAGTTAAAGAACGAGTTATGTGCACAACAAATATTGTGATGGAAACATTGCCCTCATCCGGCCTGTAAAAACAAAGGGAGAGATCAATCCAAGTGTTTTTCTAGGAATGTCAAAAAGAAACCAACGGAACAGGGTTATATTTCAGCTACAATATTTTCACATTGAAAAGCCAGGCCAAGAAGACGCACACCCGTTGATCTCAACCAGAGCCCTGACCTGAAGAAATGCAAAATAATAAGTCATTGGCAAAGTGCAAATTGTAATTCACTCAAGAACACGATAAACTCCCACAAAAGGTCTCAAATAAATTGGACTTGCCTTTAAACCATCCATATTTGAAGTCCCAATAAACAAAGATGTTAAATTGAATTGTATGTAGCCTGAGGCAAGGCTATACAAGATTAGGTTGGATGTTTGGCCTTTGCTTCTGGCCAATTTATCAAGTAGTGTGCCTCGACTATAGATAAAATGACCACTAATTTGTTATAGTGTCGATTGAAATGACTTTAATAATTAAATGTGTGAGGAATATTGCATACAAAATGAATAACTAAGGTAATGACACGTGACATTTCAATTACGTAAAATGCTAAAAAGTTAATAGTGTAATGCCATTAAAAAAATATAATTTGATATAGTTTCTCTTTTTGATTCGCTGGAGGAAGAAAGTCAAAAGGAAACGACTGCACACATTGGAAGATTCAAAGCAGTCGACCTTCTACTAATCCATTAAATTGGAGCTCTGTGGCAAAGAAACACAGAGACACAGTTGCTTCCATAAAAGTCCATGTCTTAAACAACTCAATAAATAACCTAACAATGTAGTGTCAGTAGTGCTTTTAGGCTTTAAGCACACCAAGAGTTTGGCAAAAAAAACAGCTTTGTGAGATGGGTTTTTCTTAAATCAACCAGTATATGGACACATGTGTGATCACTTTCCTTTCTTTATGCCATAATAGTTGCAATTATGATGAAAAAATGGTGCAATGTCCATCAAAATTGTTGCCAATCGTGTCAATATAAAGTCTATTTCCAGTGTTTCCCAATCAATAACTGCGACTGTAGCTTCACAGTTTCACAATAAACCGAACATATTTTACATTTGAACGGGTGGAACGGCTTGATGCCTCCCCGTGTCGGTTTCCTCTGCAAGGGTGACTTACGCACTTGCTAAACGGGGTTTGCCTGCTTGAAGTGACAACCCGTTGTGGACTCTGTGGGGCAACGCACTGGTCCCCTTTTATAAGATGGACCCTGTCGCGTTTGTCATGCTTTGTGTCATTTTGCCATGCCATCGGCATTCATATTCATGCAAACAATGAGTTTATGCTTGAAATATTTATGGGAACATAGTAAAGTGCTTCAGAAATTAAATGAAAATACTCAAGGAAAGGATAAGTGTCTCAAAAGTGTACTAAAATAGAGAACTTGAGTAGCTTTAATGTACTTGCATGCGTATTGGATCTGGCTGAAAAATGGCCCCTGACGACTCTAGAGGTCCCGACGTCCACCGAGGAGCAACCTGTGAGGATCACTGATATGGCCGATACGAGAACATGCTAGCTTTTGTTTTTCTTAATATAATATATATAATATAAACACTGCGTACAGCACACACACGCTTATGGGGTGCCGTTTGTAAAATGTTTCACGTTCTAAAATCCTGCACAGTTTTTCCACATTTAGCATTATCATATGAACAAAAAAGCACGACAGTATTCATGTCACTTTTTCAAACATTTAGAGAGAAATTCATGTACTTTTCCAATAACTTTTTTAACAAAGTTTAAAGTAACAACTTTGTTACTGCCAAAACATTATCCTTGGAAAAGTTATTGCATGAATGTACTCTCTAAATGTTTGAAAAAGTGACATGTGAATATTGTCGTGCTTTTTTGTTCATACGATGAACTAATGAACGATTACCTAATGCTAAATGTGGAAAAACTGCGCAGGATTTTAGAACGTGCAACATTTTACAAACGGTGCCTTTACAAATACACCCCCCCTTGACCGGACCATCGCCGACGATTTGGCCGCGACGGTGAAGGCAGGGGGGGGCACGGGCGCGGATGCTCGCGGTTAACAAGGGGGGGGGGGGGGGGTGGCGCGGTGAAATCCATGGCGATGGTCCGGTCAAGGGGGGGTTGCGCAACGTTCCGCGCCCGTGAACCCCCCCCCCCGCATGATTTCAACGTGGACAGTATGTGGCCCCCTTCCTAAAATAAATTTGACACCCATGCTCTATAACAAGAGCTAATTCATCCGGACTTGCCAACTTGTCCTGCCGCGGCGTGAATTACCGTAATTATTGTAATGTTCAGTTGTCAAGTCTTGTTGTTGTTAAATGTAGAGCTAAATGTAGACTCTACATTTAACATTTACATTTAAAATTTACATTTAAAATTTACATTTACATTTAGATTTAACATTTAGATAAAACATTTAACATTTAGATTTAGATTTAACATTTAGATTTAACATTTAGATTTAACAATTTATTATTTAACAAATTTGTTACAGCCAAACATTATCCTTGGAAAAGTTATTGCATGAATGTACATGAATTTCTCCCTAAATGTTTGAAAAGGTGACATGTGAATATTGTCGTGCTTTTTTGTTCATATGATAATGCTAAATGTGGAAAAACTGCACAGGATTTTGGAACGTGCAACATTTTACAAAAGGCGCCCCATACACGCTCACTTAGTGATTCTCTCATCTGTTTTCTTTGAGATGGAAGCAACAAAACCGGCCAACCAGGCTTTAGTACGTGGAATGATGAAGGCCCCTGGGCAGCACAGCCAGGTACCTTGCTCTGCCCAAACATGGGTCACAAAGGTCGTCCCGTCAAAGAGGTGATCACAAATTTGTCTTATTTTTTTGCATTTCTTTTGAACTTGCTAGCTGCAAGATGAAAGAACATGAGTGAAAAACAGTAACTATGTTATAAATAGTTTATAGTCCCTTAATACTAAGAATAGTTATCTCTTCCTTTGGTTAGGAAAGGTAATTTATATCTAAATAGTATGAAGAAGAAAGAAGAGTGTAGACTTTAGTAAGAAGCATGTCGTCTTCCACGCAGTCTGCCATGTTTCTACAACAGCCCAGAGCGGATATTGTCTCGAGCTCGAGACTTTCGGTGCTAAATGATGAACATTGTAGTTTTGAAAAGCCCCAATGTTTTTGCTGCTTTTTAACAGTACTTTTGAATGTTTTGATGCAATCTATTATAACGCTGCAGGGCTCGTCTGTTCTGCTCTCTCTCTCTCTACACGGCCACACATAACACAGACACTCACCGAGCGCCAGCAAACATGCCGGTGCAGCAAAGTCAACATGGTCAACTCAGGCATTCTCGAGTTGGTGTCGACTATTCTCGTTATTCAACATTCAGTCAAATATTTGGGAGTAAAAAGCCAACAGTTCTATTTGATACATTTGTGAGCATGTAAAACGAAAGTGGAACCCGATTCAGTCAGCCACCGATGCTATGTTTGCAAGAGCAAAGCATAAACAATCGGGCAAAAGCTTTTTTATAAAACTTCTCTGCCGACTGAGACAAGGCAGCCAGGAGGACAAAAGACAGGAGGGATAACCAATACTGACAGATGTCTTTGTTTTTCATTGGATATAAACTTCACTCAGAATAGTTATTTGTTTTGCTATTTAATGTGACATTCTGGTTAGATATTAATGACTTCATATAGTGCCCTGGCGGTTGTAAACAGCTGTTACTGTTGATGCTCTAGAAACAATTCTTTTGCCATTTTATGAAGAACTCTGAAGAATTGCGTTCTGAATTTATTTGTCTTTTAAATCTTCTTCATCATCTATGATCTATATCTTTTTAAAACAATTCAGTCATGTGAAAAGAACAAGTAGGCCTATTAATAAGAGCAGCTACTTACTGTACTGAAATCCTCAATCGACAAGTATCCAGGTCCGAGCCTGAGAAAAAGCCGGCACGGGTCTGCGAGATAAAACCACAGCAAAATGGCAGTCACAGTAGCTTGGGAAGTGTTGATAGCACTTTGGCACTATGGCATGGAAAAAAGAAATGACTGTTCATCAGATTAAAATAAATGGTAAGACACATCATCACGGTACAGCGATAGCATTTAGTTTATAGATTAAAGGGGACATTTCAGTGTGAAGTTACTCTTTAATAGACAGTGTAGGATATTAGAAATAAACTGACGACCCGGTTCATAAAATTTATAAAATACATTGAGTGTACACCAGAATACAGCCATGATTCTGAAACTGTGTAATCAATAAAGTAATGGCAATATTGTAAAACCACTGTCATTCTGGAACTGTAATAGAATAATACCAATGTACAGTTATGATTGTATTTAATGCAATGTAATCAACTGGAATGCATGCATTTAATACTTGCACAACAACTGATATTGACTGAGGGTCATTCGAAATCCGAGTTACATTGAAATCACCAGAAGACCACTCCCAGAGGTGTGGACACTAACTTTCACACCTGTACGGATCGGTATAAATACCTGTAGGCAACCATTGTTCTGGAGTTCGCTGGTGGAGGCAGCAGACGGGCACTGGGGATGGTCAAAGGACTGACCTGGGGCCTGTTGGTTGCAAAGACCAGCGGCTCCTCAGCTGAGATGTTCTTTTTACCACAACACCATCTCTTTTATTAAATACATTTGATTTTAACCTTTCGATCTGCGATGCCTTTTGTCCGTCCGGCGTTTCTTAATTTTGGAACACGACAACATTTAAATTTTTTTCCCATAATAATTTCATCAAACTTTGAGATTGCAATCTTATATCATATCCTCATTCATTTCCAAGGTCTTTTACAGGTTATTTATACAGGAGTGAAAGCGCTAATCTAGCAGTGAGCAACTTCTAGCTAAGCATAGCAAGGAGGAGTATTGTCTAACACGGCGACCGCCCCTGATAACCTTGTCACAGAAGCTTCCCACAAAGGGAAAACCGTTTTCTCCCCCTGTGCTGCTGCTGTTGTACGAACTGTCTAGCACTTTCCATGTTACAGGCCGTGTTCAGGCAACAGATATGCTTGTTTTCTCTGAGCTCCTTCTGGTCTGTTGGTGGCGATGCTCTTGTCCCACTCAATTCTTATTGGTCGGACACTATTTGGTTTTACTTAAATGAGGAGAAATGCACATTTTATTGCAACATTTTGGGGGTGAAAAGGATGTGCTTGTTTGAGAGAGAGAAAGACAACGTGTATGTTCTTAAAGAAAGGTTACCTTGTGTGGTTTTTCAACAGTAGAGAACAACATAATCGTAACAATTATTTAGCCAAGCATGGGAGGAGAGACTTTTTTGAATTGCCACATCCACCAATCGATTAGCTAAAGAGTAGATGAAGTATCAGTCAGCCAAGGCCTTATTGGGTTGACCACAGATCTATATATTGAGCACCTTTTGTGGCGTTGTCCTTGTTTCAGCTCAGCAAAGTCTCAAATGGTAAAAAAACATAAACCTTGTTTTATTTATGCTGCATGAAGACCTCTTTTCTTCGGCTGATGTTCACCTGCTGGCCTTCTGTAAATTTGGTCCTAACATTTTTTTTTTCATCTGTGGAACGAACTGAATGAACTGTGAGGCGCGTGTGTATTTATGTTTACCTGTGTTCTTGGAGAATCTCTTTTCTAAATACTTGACATGTGTAGCCACAATAAAAGTCATGTTTGCAATATGGCTAATAAACAACCAAACAAAGCTGAGGAATAGACATCCCATACAAGTGTAATTCCTAAATGATGGCCCCAACCTTACTTTGTGTAGTCCAGGGTGTGGAAATATGGTCCGAGCAAAGTTCAAGCAAACGCTAAGAAGCCAGATCTTGTGCTATCGCGGTTCACACTTTTTCATCTCATTACAAATGCCCCAAGCATACGTATCAAACCGGCAACCTGTCAGGCGAGAGTTCAGTCATTATAGACTGACCAGCTGCTGTAGGCCTTAGATTGAAGCCCTCCCGTCGTACAGGATTTCCACTGAAATGTCAATGAGCAAGGTGCTGACTTCTTACCACCTCCCGAGTTGCTGCTCAATCTGTAGATGGATTGAATGTACCCTAATTTAAGACTAGTGCCTTTTTTTTGAGTCGCATGCTTTCTCGAAGGTCATCGAAGACAGAACAGACTGGTGCGGGAAAGGACTGAAATGTGACCTTTTCATGATTCCTCCAGTCGTGCCAGCCGTTGCACTTAACTTTATTTCTTATGTGCTCGAGGCCCGAATGAAGTTTTTTGTTTCCAGTAGAGATCCGCTTATGGTTGAGGGGGCGGCATGTGGAAAATATAAGTCATTGTGGAGTATATTCACAAAGCATCTTGATTAGAAAAGGGATTGTATGTTGAAAAAAAGGTCATGATGGTGAACGTTTTACGTCAAAGGGAAATAGTATGTTTCTTTTTTGACTCATAATAATATTTGGGATTTATAAGTAAATGTTTGTATTATTCAATGTTTGAAAATATATGACATTTCTGGAATGCTGAAATATTCCTGTAATCACTCTCTGTTTAAGCGCCTGACAATTTAAGCCAGCCTCTATGGGAAAAGCCCAATATACTCGGATTGGCTAGTGAGAAAAATATGGCAGACTTTAGGAAAGGTAGTTATGGAGACGACACTCGGATGGAGGTGGGTGGTATGTTCTTATGAATAGGCATGCAGTAAAAGGAAGGGAAAACCAAATTTGAATAGCGTTTCAATTACATGTTTTCTGACCGAGGCAGCTCACAATAAAACTGACTGTGTTGTCTTATGAGACAGTAAGTGGGTTGTTTGGCTCTACAGGCACTCACATGTATGTAAACACGTCCTCAAAAAGTGTGTTTTCATTATATCCCTTCTACAAGTGGAGAGATTTCTTTTATTCTAGTCATGACTTCTGATGATGTCCTTTGGTTTTCTTATAATGGTGAAGGTGTTACTTTAACTGTCCACGCTATGAAAACATGTACATTATCTTATGATTATCTCATTGTTATTTATTTAAACACAAAGTAATAACAATCACTATTAGCCCGGTCTTCAAGATCTGGGTCAAACATTCTTTTCATATTATTTTTACTCTACAGCTCTAAAGATTTTCTATTAATTGTTTAAGTCTCTACATTTTTGCTGTGTTATTTGGAGCAGTACTTAAGTGCTACACTAAAACCATATCATTAAAAAGCTTAGAGTACATCTACCTACACTGTGAAACTTAAGACAAATTTGATTAAGATTGATTAAGATCCATAAAATAGATTTTATAATCCTCGTAGTTTCAGGATTATTTTATGTAAAAAACAGTCCAACCAACGTCTTTGCACAAGTTATTTTTTAGTAGCTCCGATGGATTGCTGTGAAATAATCAGCTGTGTGTGGTTCTCAACTCGACATGACATGAGGTTATTTGACAAGCGAGGAAAAATATTTTCTATATTTTAGAGTTAGTAACAACTTTCCATTGCTACAAGAGTATTGCTGAAAGTCTGGAGTGTTTTATACTTGTGGACGCTAACTATGACCTTTGTAAGCTTTACAGCACAACTACTCCTCTCACCGTGACCCTTCCTCTCCTACTTTTAACCCAACAGAGGCATTATACAACTAAACAAGCTTTAATGTCGGAGGCATCGACTTTCTGGGTCTTGACATATCTTGCTCATTAAAAGTAAAAATCCCTACGGGCCCCATTTCAATCGCGCCAAGTGCCAAGACAAGTGCAAAGTGGTAGTCGTTGAACACAAAGAGTGAAGGGGTCTCCCGGCACACCGTTTATTGGGGTTCCTGCAGGTTCAGTGGTGCGAGATACAAGCCAGCTGGCTGAAATGTGAGGGCGTTGTGGTGGTTGAAACATGCACTCACAGCCGGTCACATCGTCAGCACTAAAGCTACTCTCGGCTGGGAAAAGCCGGTTTCAAGACAAAACTTTAGCTGCTGGTTGAGCACCTCACATTGTTATCATACAATAATTATTAATCAGGAATCAGGAAACATTTATTGCCAAAATATGTCATACATACAAGGAATTTGACTTGTTGGTTGGTGCGGTTATTAAGTAAGTAAGTATGTGCTATGTTAAGAAGCGATGATGAACTGTTTTCTCATGTCTCTGGTCGGTGAAATACATTTCATAGTCTTTAATTTCAACTTCAATATTGATGGCAAACCTCTGTGAAAATGATAATGGTGAAAATATGTTTAGAATTATTTTTGCATCCTGCAAAAAAATAGGCAAATAAAAGTCAACCACTTCATGTCACCTGATGCCAAACCATGGAAAGAAATCAAGGGTTAATAGCTTAGGTAGTGCAAAGAAAATAAGAAAACAAATAACACGAATGTGCTTTACATCTCACGACTGCCAATTCTATTAAATATAAACCGACTTCAGTATCTTCTTTGATACAATGCAATGTCAAATGTACCTTACGTCAAATACACCAGTATTTGATATTTTAACCGGGTTGTTTCATCATTATTACCTGTTCAGTAATAAGTTTCCTGTTCATAATTCTGCAATGCATATTTCTAAACTGGTTATGTACACAAAACGATACTTGCTTTAGAAGCTCAGTGCCACGGTTCACACGTCCCCTAGCAACTAAAGTCCCCCTGGCAGGCACTGACCGTGGTGCCAACACGCAGCTACTGATTTCCAGTTTGATGCAGATACTGATATAGTCGGCCCAAAGCGAGGCTCTGCACAAAAGCAGGAGGGTGGATGGAGTCAGTATTGGAGAAGGGGTCTCGCTCTGGGAGAAAATGTTTTGGAACAACTCCAGGTTTGTCAGTGCATCTCTTCCATACTCCCTTTTCTCTTCGCCTTCCATCTCACGCATGCACACATATGGCCCTCTAGACCCGCTAATGTTCATATTTTGAACTCAGCAATAATCACACGCAAAAAGGTTGTTACATGTGTTACTGTATACTGCTGTGTAATACCACCGCATTGCTTCTGAACCACTAAATAGAGTTGTATAAGTGCAATAAAACAACAGCTGTTTGTTCTCATATGAAACTAATGAGCATATAGTCAGACTCAATTGTGACTAATAAATTATTTTGTGAGGCAAACGCTGCATGTAGTGATAACGTATATCAAGTTCCAATTGATACCTATGTTACGTTCCCCAGTTTTCTGTGTTTGGTGGCTTTGTTTTGTGCCTTGATAGGTGATTGATTCCAGGAGCAGCAGTCCCCAGACTGGAGATCTGGCCCCACCCACTCGTCAGTGGCTGCACCTGGATTCCTTCCCTCGCAACACATAAAGTGGTGCCATTTTGTTAGGAAGCTCTCGCTCGTTGGGTGTGACTTGGAGTCTCTGTTAAATCTTGTTCTGTGTGCTTGTGAAATTTGTCATTTGTGTTTAATCCTGTTTTTTTTGTCTTTTGTTCCCAGGGAAAAGGGGAAGCACCTTGGGAGTGCGTAGGCAAGCTGCCCATGGGTCTACACCACCCGTAGTCATCCTCCTGTCTAGAAACACTAGGCAAGACCTGGGCGGACCACCCCCTGTATTTGGTTAGTGAGCCTTGCTAGTGCTCAAGGTAGGTTA